TTACCCAAGAACAGTGTGGGGAATCAGCACACTTTCTGGATATGCAAATAGGGCAAGACATTCCTGGTAAGACTTGTATCGGTATGTATAATAAGCGCCAACATATGGCTACGCTGAAGCAATATCGGGCATTCCCACATTGGGAAACAGTGTTATCTACTAGGTGTAAGATGTCGACGTTACACTGTCAAATGTGCCGATTTGCTATTAGATGTACTGACATTCGATTTTTCCAAGCTGCCACAGCCAGATTGATAGCTGACGTGCTTGCACGTTTCTATTCTTCTTGTCGACTTATACGTAATACTTTACACAATTTCATGTATACCTTTTTTCGTACCTCGCCAGTGACTGCAAACATCGTGGGTGTAAATGCACCTATGGTGCGTAATTCATACTGGAAGAAAGTGGAGTTGGGTATTTGGAATCGAGTAGATACGAATGAATTTTTGGTAGATTAGCCTGCGTGCGATTATCTTTTCCTTTATTGGTTAGTGTCCCGTTTCTTTGTTGAGCAATTCCTGGAGTAGTGTTGTTGTGTTATGTTCAAATATCGTTACATGTCTATGTGCAAAATAAGAACGCCTGTTTATAAATAATGACATAAAAATCATGTTCAAATTGCTTCTAGCGCTACCAAAATTGTACACGCATACTTTTGTAGGAGCCTGATAGCTTATAGCGATGCGAAAATCTGTGGGTAACCGCATATTTAACCGTCGAAACCGCAAGGGGGAACACTGAAAATGAAACGTGTCCCTTGCAATTAGGATAATCAATTTCTGTACACCTTTCTCAAAAATTCCCATACACCCAGGTGACAACGAAGAATTGGGAATCAAATTCCGCTGAACCAGAAATCTGCACTTCAAAGAGCCAGCCAGCGACGTCGCTGAGAGGAGCACGCATGCAGTCATTCCGGTTTTAGCTCAGCCACCCACCTCTCTTGGATTGCGGAGCTAGCCGGCATTTCGGATCCAGCCGTTGTGCGATACTAATCATCTCCGATAGGACTTGAGGAGGACGGACTGTAAAGCTGTAGAGTATACTGCACTGCGTTTGCTCCTTGCTGCTGCTCTTGGCTGACCCAGGACTTCGAAAAATCCCTACAGGTACGAGCAAACTTTTTTGTGTGTGGTCGAAGATGGACTGCGCCTCTGCACAAGCCCAACATGCCACCATGCACAACATACTACTGCTGCCGTTCACCTGTCGCCGTCCTTCCACGTCTACCTGTCCATGACACATGCTGCCACTTGATGCGGCAACATCTGGGAACAACACGGACACAGGGAGTACCCCCGTACCCATACATACGCTCAACCTCTCATTCCTCCCTTGTCAAACACAAATGATGTAACATGCATAAAATGATGAACTCTGTCTATATTTACGAGTGAGTATGGTCCACGCTGCCTACAAATAAATGGGAGAGGTAG